TCTTGGACAAAAAAGAATGAGATCTTGATATCTGCAACAACATGAATGGTCCTAGAGGGTATTTTGCTAAGTGAACTAAGTCAGAGAAAGACAAGTACCAAATGATTTCACTCATATATGGAACCTAAAAAACAAAACTAACAAAACCAGACTCTGATACACAGGACTGGTGGTCCCCAGAGGGGAGGGAATTAAGAGGTACAAACTTTCAGTTATAAAATAAATAGGGCACACAGATTAGTACAGCACTCTACCCAACAGGAGCAGATTCTGCATTATTCTCAGGCACACACAGAACACTCTCCGTTACAGGTCAAATGGCAGTGCATAAAATAAGCCTCAATAAATTTAATAAGACTAAAATACAAAGTTTGTTCTCCAACCAATGGAATGAAATTGGAAATTAACAACAGAAGGAAATTTGGCAAACTCACAGATACATAAGGGTCAATGGACTCCTAAATAATCAATAGGTCAAAGAAAAAATCATAAGGGAAATTAGAAAATATTTTGAAATAATGGAAATTAAAACACAATATACCCAAACAGACAGGACACAGCTAGAGTAGTGCTTAGAAGGGAATTCGTACCCGTAATGCCTGTGTTAAAAAAGAAGATAGATCTCAAATCGATAACCTAAACTAAACCTGAAAAGGTCAAAAAGATCAACCTAACATCAAAGCAAGTAGAAGGAAGAATGATAAAGATTACAGAGGAAATAAATGAAATCAAGAATTAAAAAACATCAAGGGCACCTGGGTGGTTAAGTCGGTTAAGCGTCTGACTTGGGCTCAGGTCATATCTCGCGGCTCGTGGGTTCGAGGACCGTGTCGGGCTCTGTGCTGACAGCCAGCTTGGAGCCTGGAGCCTGCTTCTGATTCTGTGTCTCCCTCTCTCTCTCTGACCCTCCCCTACTCATGCTCTGTTTCTCTCTGTCTCAATAATAAATAAACATTAAAAAAAATTTTTTTTAAGAATTAAAAAACATCAGAAAAACCAATGAAACCAAAAGTCGGTTCTTTTAGAAGAACCATATAACACCCAGTGCTTTTTAGTTAAGAATCACTAAATTCTACTCCCGTCTTTGTTAAATTGACAATCTTTAACTAGACTGACCAAGAGAGGAAAAACCCAAACTACTATGAAAGAGGGAACATTGCTACCCAGCTCACAGAAATACAAACGACTATTTGGGAATACTGTGCACAACTGTGTAACAGCAAAATAGATAACCAAGAAGAAATGGACAAATTCCTACAAAGACACAAACACTGAAAACAGACTTAAGAACAAACAGAAAATCTGAATAAACCTGTAACAAGTAAACGGGTGAAAGCAGTTATCAAAAAACTTCCCACAAAGAAGTACTCAGGACTAGATGGCTTTACTGCTGAATTCTACCTAACATTTAAAAAACAATTAAATTTTTAAAATGCCAAAGCAATCTACATATTCAGTGCAATCCCCATCAAAATAACACCAGCATTCTTCACAGAGCTAGAACAAACAATTCTAAAATGTATACGGAACCAGAAAAAGACCCCAAATAACCAAAGTAATGTCAAAAAAGAAAACCAAAGCTTGGAGGCATCGCAATTCTGGACTTCAAGCTGTATTACAAAGCTGTAATTACCAACACAATATGGTACTGGCACAAAAACAGACACATAGATCAATGGAACAGAATACAGAACCCAGAAATGGACCAACAGATGTATGGCCAACTAATTTTTGACAAGGCTATCCAGTGGAAAAAAGACCGTCTCTTCAGCAAATTGTGTTGGGAAAACTGGACAGAGACATGCAGAAAAATTAACCTGGACCACTTCCTTACACTATACACAAAAATAAACTCAAAATGGATGAAAGACCTAAATGTAAGACGGGAAACCATCAAAATCCTAGGAGAAAACAGGTAATAGCCTTTTTGACCTCAACCACAACAACTTCTTACTAGACATGTCTTTCAAGGCAAGGGAAACAAGAGCAAAAATGAACTATTGCAACCACATCAAGATAAAAAGCTTCTGCACAGTGAAGGAAACAAAACAAAAAAGTAACCAACAGAATAGGAGAGTATTTGTAAATGATATATCAGATAAAGGGTTACTATCCAAAAATCTATGAAGAACTTATCAAACTCAACACCCAAAACCAAATAATCCAGTGAAGAAATGGGCAAAAGGCATGAACAGACACTTTTCCAAAGAAGGTATCCAGATGGCTGACACATGAAAAGATGCTCAACATCACTCATCATCAGGGAAATACAAATCAAAACCACAATGAGATACCACCTCACACCTGTCAGAATGGCTAAAATGAACAACTCAGGCAACAACAGATGTAGGCGAGGATCCAGAGAAAGGGGAACACTTTTGCACTACTGGTGGGAATGCAAACTGGTGTAGCCACTCTGGGAAACAGTACAGAGGTTCCTCAAAAAATAAAAAATAGGACTACCCTACAATCCACCAATACTAGGTATTTATCCAAAGAATACAAAAATGCTAATTTGAAGGAACACATGCACCCCAGTGTTTATAGCAGCGCTATCAACAATAGCCAAAGTATGGAAAGAGCCCAAATGTCCATCAGCTGGAGAGTGGATAAAGAAGATGTGGTATATATTTATAACAGAATATCACTTGGCGATCAAAAAGAATGAAGCCTTGCCATTTGCAACATGGATGTAAATAAAGGGTATTATGCTGAAAAAAATAAGTCAGAGAAAAATAAATATTTTATGATTTTACCCCTATGTGGAATTTAAGAAACAAAACAGATGAACAGAGGGGAAGGGAAGGAAAAATAAAAAGAAGGGGAAGGCAAACTGTAAGAAACTCTTAAATACAGAGAACTGAGGGGTGCTGGAGGGGTGCTGGGTGGGGAGATGGGCATTAAGGAGAGCACCTGTTGGGATGACCGCTGTGTGTTATATGTAAGTAAAGAATCACTAAATCTACTCCTGAAATTATTACACTATATGCTAGCTAACTTGGATTCAAATAAGATTTTTTAAAAATTATAATATGTATGGCCAATTGACTTTTTAAAAAAGTTTATGTTGAGAGAGTGAGAGAGCAAGGGAGGAGCTGACAGCACAAAGCCCAACGCAGGGCTCGATCTCATGAACCATGAGATCATGACCTCAATTGAAACCAAGAATCTAATGCTTAACTGACTGAACCACCCAAGCGCCCCTTAACTTTTGACCAAGATGCCAAGACAATGCAATGGGGAAAGAAGCCATTTCCACAAATGGAACAAGTGGATGGCCAAGTACGAGAGAATGATGTTGGGCTCCCATCTCACAGAAAATAATGCATAAAAGTTAACTCCAAATGGATCAAAGACTGAAACATAACAGCTTAAACTCCAAAATTGGATTATGTTTTTTAAATTTTTTTTAAATGTTTTATTTATTTCTGAGAGAGAGACAGCATGAGCAGGGGAGGGTCAGAGAGGGAGGGAGAGAAAGACAAAATCTGAAACAGGCTTCAGGCTCTGAGCTAGCTGTCAGCAGAGAGCCCGATGTGGGGCTCAAACCCACAAACTGTGAGATAGGACCTGAGCCGAAGTCGGATGCTCAACCGACTGAGCCTCCCAGGTGCACCCCCCCCCACTTTTTTTTTTTTTAGATATGACACTAAAACCAGGAGCAATGAGAAAAATTCCTAAGCTGCTTTCAAATGAACTTAATCAAAATGAAAAACTTTTTGTGTATTGAAGGGCACTATCAAGAAAGTGAAGAGACAACCGATAGACTGGGTAAAATATCTGCAAATCATGTATCTGATGAGGAGCCAATATCTAGAATACATGAAGAATTCTTATAATTCAGCAGTAAAAAGACAAACAACCCAATTAGATTTGAATAAACATTCTCTGAAGTAGATATACAAATGGCCAGCAGGCACAGGAAAAGATGCTCAACACCAGTCATCAGAGAAACACAACTCGTAACCACAATGAGCTACCACTGCCCACCCAGGAGGATAGTTAGAATCAGAGAGAGACGGGGGGGGGGGGGGGGGGGGGGGGGGGGGGGGGGGGGGGGGGGGGGGCACGGGGAAACCGAGACCCTCACACATTGCTAGTGGCAACGGAAAATGTTATAGCCACCTTGGAAAGCAATTCGGTAACTCCTCAAAAAGCGAAACACAGAGTTACCATATGACCCTATACTTTCATTCCAAGGCATGTACCCGAGAATTAAAAACATGTCTACGCGAAATCGTTTTGGTGTTTATAGAAGCATTATTCATAATAGCTGAACAGTAGAAACAACTCAAATGTCCACAACTGATGAATGGATACATCAAAGGCAGTGTATCCACACAATGGAATATTATTGGCTATAAACAGAAATGAAGTGCTGAGATGTGCTACAGCCCATACATAAAGCTTGAAAACACTATGCTGAGGGAAAGGAGCTGGTTACAAGGACCATATAGTGTATGATTTCACTTATAAGAACTGTCCAGAAGGGGCAAATCCACAGAAACTGCAAGTAGGCTGGGGGTCGCCTACAGCTGGGAAAGCTGGCGGAAACGGAGTGACTGCTAATAGATGTGTGGTTTGTTTCTAAAGGGATGAAAACGATCTGATTGTTAGTTATGATGGTTGCACAACTTCATGAATACAATGAAGACCAGTGAATCGCACTCTTTACTCAATTACTAAAAGAACAAAAAAAGAAAAGAAAAAAAAAAAAACAAAAGACTAGGAAAAAAACCCTGGCCCTTATGCTTCATTTCTTTTTCACTGGGCTTGTAAAACAGATGCTTGTAGGGGCGATGAGGCCGGGGAGGGCTGACCAGATCCCAGGATTACATCTTCACCCAAGCTTGGAGGGAGAGAGACCCCCAAGGGGAAAACTGATGGTAACCACAGAGAGGAAAACGGAGGAGACCAAGGAGCTTCCGCAACAAACAGAGTCTGGGGACTGCTTTGGAGCCAAGAACCCCACTCTTCCCGGTTACCCTGAAATATAATACCTTTGGGCTTCTTCAAGTTGTCAGGTTTATACTCCAGACCTTCCACAGCCGACACAGAATGGCTTCTAGGCAACCCCCGCTTTGCCGATCTCTTTGAAGGAGAAATCATTTCCTGGTTGAAGAGATTTCTTCGAACTTTGGTCACTTCTGAAAGCATTAAAAAAACAAAAACAAAAAAGCACCAAATATTATCACGAATAAATGCCACATCTGGGAAAAGAAAGATCCAAAACAGAGAGCAGCTGATTAAGCTTAAGGAAACTAACTACTCTACAGACTGGCCTCTCTATCCACATTGACTAACAGGATTTCCTTAAATATTATACTCATATGGTACATAAAAACTATTTACTCTTACAAATTCAATTTAAATCTAACTTTTCAGGAACACGAGGAAGGCCACATCACTTAAATCAGAGGGTGTCATCATTGTAAAATGGACACAATCCTTAAGAGGCTGGTAGTGTAGGTCAGCGTCCGTTTTAATGCATGCCGGTGTTGTGAGAATTTCCCTCACTTTGGACCTCTTTACGGCTTTGTATTCAGCTCAGCTCCAAGGAGAGAAACTGTTCTCCTCAAATCCACAGATTTTACTCTGTGGATTTGAGAATTTCACGAATTTGCTGGGTTATTTTCAATTCTCTTCCTGACTTCGGAACATGGGAGCATGTGACCATTTACAGACTCACAGTTGTGACAAGCAGCTAAAGAGTCCATCAAAAACTACTTGATAAACTAGTGGAAAGCGTCTTCATCTGAAGCAAGAAGACTCACACACTCACCACGGGTAAAACTCTTCTAAGAGCAAGTCAGTTAAATACAACCCCAATAAACCATGACTCACAAGCTGGGAGGGGCCCTTATATTTATCGATCAATGACAGACATTAAAGTTAAGGACACCAATGACACCCAAGTTTCAAAAACAAATGCCTGAAACTCATTTGTGATCTGACAGCCAAACTGCATTTGTTTGCTTTCCCAAGTTTATAAAAGTTTAATATTGACAGAAAATGTCAAAGAATAATTCATTACACAGAGAGCCATCACTAAAATTCACCGACTATTAACTTTTGTCTTCTCCCTCCACTGCTCTCTACCTTTACATAGTTTCCCCCCAAGAACACAGCACAGTATGGGGGGGAGGGAGGACACCACCAAAAATAAGGGTCTATCACCCAGCATCCTGCCCATCCTCACATTTCCCTCTGGGTCTCACTATCCCTCACCGCTTCTTCCCTCCCGGAATTTAAGATCCAGGCAGGGGTCACACAGTGCATTCAGTTGTCACACTTACAGTGCTTTCATCTAAATCAATCTCACTGCCTCTTTTCCTTTCTGTGGCTTTCATAATAATGATATTAAAAAAAAAAAAAAAAGATTTCAGGCCAGGGGCATCTGGATGGCTCAGTCGGTAGAGCGTGCGCAATTCTTGATCTCAGGGTCATGAGTTCTACCCCCACATTGGGTGTAAAGCTTAGATTAAAAATAAATAAATAAAATAAAAAGATTTCTGGCCGGTGATTTTGCAGAATGCAGTTATTTTGAGACTGTGTGAATATCTTATTCTCCTAGCGCATGGTATTTGGACATATTTCATTAACCAATGACCATATACACTTATCATTTAGAACTGTATGCAGCTGCTTAAATACATGCAATGAAACTAAGTTTGTCATCCTAGCCAGTAAATGCGTACACTGAGAAGACAAAGTATACCTTGCACTGTATCCTTCACCAGGGGTGCAGGCTGCGGAAGAGTGACGCGAGAGCTCTCCTGAAAGAGGAGTAAATCGGTATTCATTTCAAAGAATAAAAATTCCACATGAGACCCTCTGAGCCTTGCAGCTCCACTTGTAGGAATCCCTAACAGAAATACCTGTCAAATGTCCCAAAACAGACAGATGTTCCAAGGACACAGAAGCCTGCATTATAATACAAAATAAGAACCACCCCAAATATACATAAGGAAAAAAAAATATCCATAAGGAGTGAAATAAATTTTGATACATCATCCAACACAGACACTCAAAGATTAGTAAGACCTCTAAAAACAGAAGGAAGGAAGGCTTAGCTGTACATACACAGAAAGAGCCCCACGATGGGAAAAGTGGGGGGTGGGGGAGAGCAGTGTAGCAGCTTTGTGGCAATTTGTGACATTTCTGTACAGGCATGTATGAGAGGTATGTGGAAACCTTTGATTGGTGCCATCAGTGTGTGCAGAAAAGGGCCTGGGAACAGACACAACCGGCATCAGGGATTCCTTCTGAAGAATGAATGGAAGAAGGACACTCTCAATTTCTGACTTCATAACGTTTCAAGTTTTTAACGAGCATGTATACCTTTATACTAAAAAAAATAAGGGAACACCCATATAAATGAGAGGATGACTATGCTTCTTAAAAACAAAAATGTTTATTTTTGAGAGAGCACACGAGTGCGGGAGGGAGAGAGATGAGGAGAGGATCCAAAGCAGGCTCTGTGCTGACAGCACAAAGCCCAAAGTGGGGCCTGAACTCATAAACTGTGTGCTGAGATCACGACCTGAGCTGAAGTCGGATGTTTAACCAACTGAGCCACCCAGGTGGCCCCCCTCTTTTTTTTAGTTTTAGAGAGAGGCTGTGAATAGGAGGGAAAGAGAGGGAGAGAGACAGAGACAGAGGGAGAGGGAGAGACAGAGAGAGAGAGACAGAGAATCTTAAGCAGGCTCCATGCTCTGCGCAGAGCCCAATGCAGGGCTCAATCCCACAACCTTGGGATTATGACCTGAACCGAATTCAAAAGTCAGATGCCTAACCCACTGAGCCCCCCAAGCACCCCGAGGATGACTATAATCTTAAGGAGTCTCCATATTAAACTATACAATAATCTAAAAATACAGATGCATCTATACAATGGAATTGTTTTTAAAGCTTACGGTTGTTTCCTTCCCATTATGCCCATGTGTTACTTGAAGAATACCACATGGAGGCGGACGTAAGGAGTACGAGAAAGGACTGCGAATCATTGTAACATCTAGAGAGAGGAGGCCTGAGACTTTTGCTGCCGTCCAGTCCACTTTTGGATTTCCCACTCTCCACTCAGGATTCCAAGATACTTAAGATTAGCGCATTATTCACGGACACTTAGGAAGTCACACTAAGGAAGTGAACACCACTAGCTCTTAAAAAACAATCCCACCTTGGGGGGCCTGGGTGGCTCAGTTGGTTAAGCATCCAACTTTGGTTCAGGTCATGATCTCACGGTTCGTGGGTTTGAGCCCTGCGTCGGCCTCTGTGCTGACAGTTAGCTCAGAGCCGGGGGCCTGTTTCAGATTCTGTGTCTCCCTCTCTCTCTGACCCTCCCCTGCTCACACTGTCTCCCTCTCTCAGAAAAAGAAAATGAAAACAAAAACAAAAGACAACCCCACCTAGTCCCAAAGGGCAGTGATACGAATCTAGGGACAAAGCAAACCAGTGTTCCGATGAATGCTCCTAAAGCTACTACTTATAGAATTTTAACTCTTCTCAGAATTCCTGCGGTTCCAAAAGGTTTCAACACCCTCTCATTTCTTTCCTTAACAAGACATCAATTCTACTTAATATTAACAGACTCCAGCTGGGTTCAAGTCCGCCCATCTACTGTCACAGAAAAGCAGATCACCGCTTCATGAGAGCATCCCTCCCTACCCCGCCTTAGTGAAGTGAAAGGTCCCCCAAAAGCACCTTCTTATCTGTAATCAAAGTCCTATTATCATGCACATCATTTCTTTCATTGGTCTCTTTGCTTATGTTTGTTATTTTATGAGTTTCCTTGTCTACCAAATATTTTGAATTAACTTATTCATTCCTAACTTTCATTTGCTGATTTTCTTTGTATCACCTCTAACTGTCATACTTCTGGGTAAGATGGTTTATCTTTAGCAAATGTATCGCTCTTTATTTGTTGGATTAAAAACATCTGCCTTATTTCTGTATCCTCCAATGACTATTCCCTCAAAGTACAGACACTGCCTTTCAATCTTACTTATTGCATCAACTCATGCTGGAAAGGACAGGTGTGGAGGCACCATTTCCTTCCTCTGGAAATCACTTACTTGTTTTGTAGCTCTCTTGGACGCTTTGGGAATTTCAATTTGTCGAAGATTCTGCGAAACCTCTGCAATGCTTTTATGTCTTATTAACGCATTTTTCCTTTTAAAAACAGAAAGAAACCGCCAATATACATTCAATAGTGGTGACGAGTAGTTACACTAGAAAAGAACTAGAGTTTATAATAGAACATTAAATAAAGGTCAGCTTTTCTGGCACAGGTCTGAATCTGTAGCAAAACACGCCAAATTCACCAATTTCCAAATAACCGCTACAAATTCAACTGGTTATGAATGGTGTGAAGAACACAAAGTGCGCTGAAGCCCTCAGTGTGTCTCATGAAAGGCTTCCAGCTCATGGAGGCCCCACGCAGACAGGTAAGGGCACTGTGGACCATGTCATCAACACCGCATGCTCCCTGGATGGTCAAAAGGGTGTCAGATGCTGCAGGTTAGGAGCTACAAGAGGTGGTTTCTATGGTGCAGAAGTAAGGGCAGCTAGGGATTCAATACGTTACACAAAAGGGAACTGCCCTCTGCTCCAACTACACCAGGGCCAGCAACTCCTTCCATCCCTTGAACTCCCACCTTCTCTTCTTGGCCGATCTGGTACGAAGCTCCTCCAGCAGGTCAGATTCAGTGCCGCCCGACACCGATCGCGGAGCACTGGACACGAGAGGCACAGAAAGAAGCGGGGATCCGCTCTCTTGTGTCACAGAGTCATCACTGAAAAAGTCCAGAGGAAGGACACCCGCTAGCTTCTGAGGGATCATAAAGCCCAGGCTGTCGTAAAGAGCTCCCAGCGTCTTCGGGATGGAGTCGATATACCTGCGGGGTAGACTGGTTAAATATGGAGCGGTTGCCATTCCACCCCTCATCCAGCATGAGACGGTCCCCCAATTCCATGGCTCACACACAATACCACATGTGGCCCCTGGTAAGACAGCTGTAAAGTTACTAGACCTCAAACTTACAATCCCAAAATTTCTTCCAGAAACTTTGCGAGGTACGCCGAATCCTCAGTTAAACACACCACGCGCAGCAAATCCGTCACCTGAAGAAGACAGTTGAAAATCACCATGTGCCTTCTGCAGGGGAGTCGAAAGCCTTTGAGGCCGACTTCCAGGGGCGCCAAGCCGTATACTTGCCTCCTTCACCACCTGCTCCATATCGTCTCCACTTTCACGTAGGGAAGGGCACTGCAGACACATCTCCAGACGAAGGAATACCTGCAGCCGGCACCTTGAGAGAAAAAATATCTGGTCATATCGATCCTGAGGGCCATTTGACTAAAAACTCCTTCCTCAAGCAAAGATCTTTTTACAGAAGAACCACAGCCGAAAAGGAGAAGAGCCATTGCTTTCTCTAATGACATGGTTATTAGGCAAATGGGTGACTCAAACTGCACATTCAAGAATCAGCCACAAAAAGCCTCTGAGCAACTGGCAATCTATTTTAAATGAATAGAACCAGATCTTAGAGCTTTGTTTTAGAATGGTAGTACATCAATCAATCAACAAAGGTAGTTACTTACTCTCTGACTTTATCTTCATCCAGTTTTTTGCCCAGATCCTGTCGAAGACTTTTGCTAGTTTTTAAGAGGCAATTTTTTACCTGATTCAGGCAATTCATCTGCAAATACAGAATTATTACATAGGAGAATACAGAGTTACATACTCTACCTAATTTATTTCGCAGCTGACTAATGCCCTAAGGGAAGTACATTCCCCTATGAATTTCCCTCTTATTGAATGAAAAATAGTGAAAAGAATGTTCTTCTTTCACATCATCAAAAAGAACAGGGTAAAAAAGGTATTTAAGAGCAAGGGGGCATGGATACAACAAGCCTGCCTATCTGACCTTTCTTAAAAAAAAAAAAAAAAAAAATCTAAGGACTGTAAACAATTCCTGTTCACTTTATTTATGTATTTATTTATTCTTTAACGTTTTATTCATTTCTGAGAGAGAGGGACAGTGTGAACAAGAGAGGGCCAGAGAGAGGGAGACACAGAATCTTAAACAGGCTCCAGGCTCTGAGCTGTTAGCACAGAGCCCGACGCGGGGCTCGAACCCATGAACCATTAGAGCGTGACCTGGGCCGAAGTCGGACGCTCCACCAGCCGAGCCCCCCAGGCCCCATCAATTCCTGTTCACTTTAGAGGAGACTGGCTTTCAGCACTAACCGTGAATAAAGACAATGACAGCATGATCTAAACCAGTGGTTTACAACACTCCTTCTACGTAAGAGTCAGGGAGGAAGCTTTTTATAAGTAAATATGCCCAGGACCCATACCCCAGAGATCTGTTTCAGTTGATCTTGAGGAAGCCAGACATCAGCATTTTTAAAAATGTTGTAGGTGACTCTAAAGTGTAGCCAGGTAAGAAACCCTGGTTTAATTCACGCAGCTAACATGTAGTTGAGGACAGAGAATTTGTTAGAAAAGAAGTACATGTAGGGGTGCCTGGGTGGCTCAGGGGATTAAACATCCGACTCTTGATTTCAGCTCAGGTAATGATCTCACAGTTGTTAAGACTGAGCCCCATATCAGGCTCCACATTGAGCATGGAGTTTGCTTAGGATGCTCTGTGTCCCTCTCCCCCTCTTTCTTGCTCGCTCTCTAAAAAAATTAAAAAAAAAAAAAAAAAGGAAGTACGTGTAATTACTACTACCCTCACCTGCCCCATTTCCTGGATTTCCACTTCACCAGCTCACCATGTCCACCTTCCAAGATCTGGAATTATGTTCACCCCCTTATCTTATTTTTGAATCGCACACTGTATAGCAGTCATTTCCCAAGACACAGGAACCAAACCCACCAACCACTCCATCTCTGATAAACAGCAACATCCATACTCTCTTACTTCTAATTCCTTGGTGCCTTTGGACTTCAGGAATGCTTTAATGGTGGAGATCATATTCCGAGCGCATGAATGCAACATGATTTCTCCTGTGGCCACAGTCTTTTGGTAATTTTCATGTATGTAAGACAGGAGCTCCTCTTCAGTTTTAAAGTCTGTGCGGGGGGGAAAAAAATTAAGTTGATCATCACCTTCAGCTGAAGTCATTGTACGGTTTAAGCCAGTGGTTGTCAACTAGGAATTTTGCCTCCCAAGGGACATTTGGCTACGTCTGGGTTTCCAGACTGGTGGGGAAGAGGAGGGTGCTCCTGGCATCTAGTGAGCAAAGGCTGGGGATGCTGCTAAACATCCTGTGCTACAAAGGCCAGCCCCTAACAGAGAATTATCCCACCCAAAATGTCAGTGGTGTGGAGGCTGAGAAAGTACAGAGATTGGGATTAATTTTAAGGCTTTGAAAATGAAATGTACCTGTTATAAAGTTAAGGATAACTATTAATGGAAATGAAATAAACTATAGGGGCCCCTGGCTGGCTCCGTCAGTGGAGCATGGGACTCTTGATCTCAGGATTGTGAGTTTGAGCCCCATGTTGGGTGTAGAGATCACTTAAAAATAAAATCTTAAAAAAGGAAAAGAAAAGGGTGTCTGGGTGGCTAAGGGGTTGAGCATCTGACTCTTGATTTTGGCTCAGGTCATGATCCCAGGGTTGTGGGATTGAGCCTCGTGTCAGGCTTCACACCAGGCGGGGTGCCTGCTAGAAGTTCATTCTCTCTCCCTCTGCCTCTCTCCCCTGCTTGCACGCTCATGCTCTTTCTCTCCTCAAAACAACAACAAAAAATACCTATATAACCTCCAAAACCTAGCAGAAAGCAAGAAGAATAAACAAAGCTTGATTAATCCCACAGTCTGATAGAAATGAAAAAAAACACACAAAAACATAGAAAGCACAAAATAAGACACTAAAAACATCCAAGCTTATCAGTAAATATAAACATCTATTTTACAAATATACATGACTGGGTAAAAGAGAAACTATGAGAATGGATTAAAAAATTCCCTTATATTCCGGATGTCACAAAATATTGAGAAGTATCAATGAAAACAGAATATAGCAAACTTGTATAATGCAGTTAAATGAATACTTAAAAGAAAGTCCATAGACTTAAATAATCTTTTAAAGAAGAAAAATAAAAACCAATTAGCTAAGGGTCCAACAAAAGAAACAGCATGAGAGAATAAACCCAAAAAACAAAGGCAATAATAATGACAGGAACAGAAATGAATTAAGTAGGAAAAGAAAACCCAAGAGAGATCAGCAGAAACAAAAAAATAATTCTCTTAAGAGCCAAATACAGAAATCTATAGTGAGACTGTGCAATATTAAATACAGAAAGGGTAAATAAGCAACATTAGAATGGAAAAACAGAGATTTGAAATACTAGTAAGAGGTAAGGTCAAAGTTAATTTTTTTCCCATAAGACACCCATTGGTTCTGGAACCATCTGTTGAAAAGATTATCCTTTTCCCATTGAATTATTGGGGCACCTTTGTCAAAAAGCATACACCACTGCTAGGCAGGTCTACTTCTGCTCAGAAGCTAATCCAGAAACCGTGTTAATAGTAATAGTACTTGAGTACTGTTAATTTTGCTCTCCCTTGAATGAAGCATCCACATTCATGAATACTTTTTTACCAGCTCATTTAAGATGTTCTGTCTCATTCAAACTGATTATCATCTGTGAATCTAGCACTCTGCTGGGGGCGGGGTGCGGGGGTGGCACGGAAAAACTCTTCAAGGAGCAGAAAACTTTTACTCCAGAATTCTCAAAAGAAATCAGACGTGAACTCATGTTCTTGTCCAACATACGCCGTCTTTACAACCCTCCCTCCCACAGGACTGGTTCTGGTAGCGTGAGCTAACTATGTGCCCGGAGGATGAGAACTCACTGCAAGTCAATCCATTTTTTAGAAAAGAAATAAGAAACTAATAGGAAAATTAACACTACTGGATGAAATTCTTCTGCCCAACTCTGAAAGACCTTAATACACTAGATGATTCACGAAGCTTCCTTTCTCCCTCTATTTCTCCAGGGATGACGCTTCTTTAACCACCTGTCCCAGGGCCATGCCATGGCCTCCTTGTGACTTTGCTTATGCTAATTCCCCATCTGGCACGCTCTTCCTTTACCCTCCTGCCAGCCGAACTCTGCTCACTCCTCAAACTCTAGCCTGGGCTCCACTGGCTCCTTAGACGCCTCCGAAGGGCCTCTTCTGGCCCAAGGCTGACCTTCTCATTCTCGACGCCTAATATATGTCTTTTCTGTTGTAGATTCTTGGCTCTCTTAGGTCTTACACTGTATTAGTTCATTACGAATTTAATGTGTGTGTTTGTGCGCGTGTGCGCGCGCGCACACGTGAAGTCACTATTGTCATCTTGTGGTTGGATCATAAATCTGAGAATAGGACACGATCTTACTTTTATCGTATTCCCCATAACACACTTTGAGGAATTCAGCAGACATTCAATAAGTGTTCATTAATTGAGGGATATGATTAAAACTTCTAAAAATTAAGAGGGTGTGAAAGAATAAACGTGACCTTAGACACCAAGAAGCTATGGCATTGAGAAATACCTTTAGGTTTAGAGCTTCTGAGCATTCTCCCTCGGTTTTCCAGTTTATCTGCTACTCTGCCACCGGCTGTCCTTGGGATCCCCTTCTCCCCGGCTGCATCCGGACTGCCATCTGGACACGACTTCTGAGCCTTCACGTTCAGCCTTGCGACATTCAGCATCTTTAAGGAACGGCACATGGTGTTCATCTTCTGCCTCACGGGAGTGCGAGGGACCCCTCCTACCAAAACAGCATCGTGGGAAGACAAGGAAAATAGCTTTTACTTCTGCAGAATGGGAACCGCTTTAGTTTGGATTCAGGATTCCGTGAGAGGATGCTGAATATAGTACATCCCTTGGGGAGGATCGCGGTGAGCGGGTTCTCTCATCTGCCTGTACCTACCACAAAGAACAGAAAGACAGCTCTTCTTTTAATGGAAGTTTAGGAACAAAACATGGCAACGAGATTGGGTGAATTTTATTAGTAAGGCAGATGCTGTACAGACCCAATGTGTCATTATCCAGGGGTCACAGAGTTGTGACGAAACTTCTGGAAGGCAATTGACCAGTCTGCATCAAAAGCTACTTTTCCCCACCTTTTTGATACAGTACCTTGTTCCTGACAACTTATACTACGGAAGTCATTCAAAGAATAAATCCTACGCGTCCCGTACACCACAGTATTACTTATAGTGGTAAAAAGTGGAAACTGTTCAACAGCGTAAGAATTTCATCAATGTTGTGAGGCGATAAGGTAGAACAGTAACCAAAACGGCAAGGTAGCCAGTGAATGAATGTTGATAAGTAGGATACAAAGTTGTATTTGTATTTCTGTCATAACTAAAAATGGAAATGGTTTATTAAGAAGGTACGATTGTGGGTGATATTTTAACATCACTTTTGTACCAATGTAATTATTTTCAAGTTTGAGATGTAAGAACTTGTCCTCTTATCCATTACCATTTCAACCCCACTTTAGGGAATGCCAGGCTTTCGAAACACACACTCTCCAGAAAGATGGCCCCAGAAACAGTCTATGTGCATACGTTTCTTTCTGCGGTCTTCCTCATTAGATGTGGTGTATTCTTCCCGAGACTTTCTCTGGTAGAGCTCAGAGAGGCAACACGTTAATTCACTTTCGGTTTTGGAAGACTCTTCCTTATTAGATGAGGCAGCCTGTAGTAACCTGTGAACAAGTCAAGATGTCTAGTACAAAGCTGAAATTCTGATTTTTCAGAATGCTTTAAAAACAACAAAATTCATTATCCTTTAAAAGCTAGTCAAAAGATACCCCCACAAGCAGCCTTCAAAAAATGTATTTCCTCAGGAGGGAAAATGTCCCTCTCTTCTCATTTATGATTGAAACAGACTCAGAGACAGAAGCCACCCATTCACAAAACCATTAGTCATTACATACGGTAGTGACATCTCTACTAATGAGACCCTTAATGTCCTATGGTACGTGTCTAACTTAGGCAACTACTCCATAGTTATTTTTTACTCGCTGTCCATACATTAAAGTAGAAGATGATGTAATACAGTATAGTAAGTGTCACAGTGCCTTCTGAATAATTCTTTCACATCACCACATCATAGTAAACTAGCTTGGGATTGAGGAGAAGGGGAGGAAGTGCGGCAAAGGGGCTAATCAGTTATGAAATGCTTTTCTGCCTAGGGCTAAGTGTCACTCACTAAGGGAAACTATGAAAACTGTACAACTTTCCAAACGTATTACTTGTAGGGGCACTTGGGTGGCTCAGCTGGATAAGTGTTTGACTTCGGCTCAGGTCATGATCTCACGGTTTAGGAGTATAAATCCCACATCAGGCTCTGCACTGATAATGCACTGATAGTGCAGAGCCTGCTTCAGATCTTGTCTCCCTCTCTCTCTCTCTGTCCCTCCCCAGCTTGTACTCTCTCAAAAATAAGTAAACGTAAAAACAACAACCACCACCCCATATTACTTGTATTTCACTCTCTTCTATTATCTGATCTAAAGTAGGAGAAAGTTATGTTGAAATTAGTTGAATCTGCCGGGCTTCTCCATTTCACACACATAGTTCTGAAGCAGGCTAGGTGCACTGGGATTTCCTTTAACTGTGGGGGCGGTTTGTTTTTCATTCTGTTAATTTTTTAGAACTTATGAACCTTTCAATTACACAGAAAAGTAGTGAAAGCATTATTAGAGATGCATCTCCCACCAAGATTAAATATTTGCTAACGCTTGACCTTATCTACTTCAGATTTTAATGAAAGTAAGCATTATCGACACAGAAAAGCCCCAATCTTTTCCCATCCTTTTCTTCCAGAAGTATTCCTAGACTTGTGTGTATCTGATTTTTAGAGATGTACATATGTATCAAAACCAACATAAATTGCTCTTGTATACAGTGGAAGCTTTAAAAAATACCATACACCATTCTTTTGCAATTTTCTGTCTGTACTCAACATTTTTCCTGAGCTACAAATAACTCTAGGTTATTCCGTTTTACTAACTTATCTATAATGTTCTATCATGTAACCATACCATGGTCTATCCGTTTCCCCGCTGAGGACAGCCGGTTCTTTCCATTTTTCACTTGTAACGACTGGCAACAAACAATTGAGTGTAGCTACTCATGTTTGTGCAAAAACTTTAATGCAGACACGTGAAAGTGGAATTACTGGGTGTCAGTATATAAAGTTTCTCCTTTATTAGGAATACAAATTGTTCTCTAAAATAGTTGTAACCATTTACAATTCTATCATCTAAAGTGTTTTCGTTTCCCTATGTGCTATATCAGACCTACCGACCTTCGACAATCTAATGGGTATAAAATAGAATCTTATGGATTTTTTTTTAATGTTTTATTTATTTCTAGGAGAGAGAGAGAGAGAGAGAGAGAGACAGCGTGAGCAGGGGAGGGTCAGAGAGAGAGGGAGTCACAGACTGAAACAGGCTCCAGGCTCTGAGCTGGCAGTCAGCACAGAGCCCGACGTGGGGCTCGAACCCATGAACCGTGAGATCATGACCTGAGCTGAAGTCAGACGCTTAAATGACTGAGCCACCCACGCACCCCATGCATGGGTTTTTCTTACTGTAGTTTTCATTTGCACTTGCCTAAACAGAGCATCTTTTTTTTGTTTTAATGTAAGCTCTACTGGGCCCAATGCGGAGCTCGATGTCAGGACCCTGAGATCAAGAGTCATACCCTATACTGGCTGAACAGCTAGGCACCCTGAAATTGAGTATCTTCTCTTTTCAAATTACTGCTGTTAGATTCCATTGTATGAATTGCTTATTTGCATTTCTCGCCTAATTGCTTATTGTCTTCTTATTGATTTTTCCGAGCTCTGTAGTAATTTAGGTACGAATCCTTTGCTGGTTATACAGATTATAGCTGCCCAGGCCTATGACTAGTCCTTTTCACCATATAAGAAATTTTAAATTATAGTCATTTATTTTCCTTCATGGTTTCAGTGCTTGATGTTTTAATTAAGAAATCCATTCCCAGCCTGGAACTACTCCTGTGTTTTCCCTTCTTAAGATTTTAAAGTTTTACTTTTCACATTTGCTTTTTGAAACTTATCAAGAATTTATCACTGTGTATGCTGGGAGGGAGAAATCTAATTTTTCTTGCTTTTCTCCTGGAGAGCCAATTGTCACATCACCATTTATTGAACAGTCTATTCCTTCCCAAGTATATAATTCTGCCTTTGGTGTATGCTGAGCTACCACATGTGTGTGGGTCACTATTTGGGCTCTCCTGCTATATGGGTCTCTCTGTCGATCCCTGCACCAATACCATCCCACCCTATTTATTAGCACTTTATGGGTAAACGGTGCTATCTTACAGGGAAAGGTGCACCTGTCCTGTCTTAGCCTGGGTGACCTGCACCACGTCCATGAATCAGAAGACTCATTACTAAGTCAGTTCTTCCCAAATTGACCTACAGACTCAATGCACTCTTGGTTAAAAATCCTGGCATGCTTTTCTGGTGGAAATTAAAATTGAGAGGACTAAGACTACTTGATTTCAGTACTGAAGACAATGTGATAGTAACAATTTCTGGACTAGATTCTTTGCAGAAATAAACCTGCACAATGTTGGTGAACAGATTTTGACAAAGTGCTACAGTAATTCAATAAGAAGAAGACTGTCATGGGGCACCTGGGTGGCTCAGTCGGTTAAGCGTCTGACTTCGGCTCAGGTCATGATCTCACGGTTCATGGGTTTGAGCCCTGTGTCGGGCTCTGTGCTGACAGCTCAGAGCCTGGAGCCTGTTTCAGATTCTGTATCTCCCTCTCTCTCTGATCCTCCCCTGTTCATGCGGTCTCTCTCTCTCTCTCAGAATAAAACATAAAAATTAAAAAAAAAAGAAAAAGACTGTCGTTTAATAAACAGGGTTGGAACAACTGGTTACCTATACGTCAAAAATAAACCTTGACTTTACCTCTTAATACTATTTTGACTTTCTGCTGCATGTTTTACATTTCTAATATGGTCTATGTCGTCTTCTTAAAAAAAAATTGCTCAATTTTGCTACAGATAATTCCATTTTATTTGGCTTCTCAAAAAAATCACTTTATATTTGTTGATTTCTATTATTTTCTGTGATTCATTATTGTTCTTTTTTTTAATGTTTTATTTATTTCTGAGAGAGACCACACGAGCAGGGGAAGGTCAGAGAGAGAGGGAGACACAGAATCTGAAACAGGCTCCAGGCTCTGAGCTGGCTGTCAGCACAGAGCCGGACGCAGAGCTCGAACCCACGAACCGTGAGATCATGACCTGAGCCAAAGTCGGACACTTAACCAAATGAGCCACCCAGCGCCCAATGCATTATTTTTCTTATTGTTATTACTACCTTCTTTATTTTTGGGGTTTACTCTCGTGTTATTTACTGTATTGGACCCTTAGCTAACTGGCTTTTAACTTTTTTTTAAAATTTTTTTTAGAGTTTATTTTTGAGACAGAGAGAGAGAGCATGAGTGGGGAGTGTCAGAGAGAGAGGGAGACACAGAATCCGAAACCGGTTCCAGGCTCTGAGCTGTCAGCACGGAGCCTGATGCGGGACTTGAACCCATGAACCATGAGATCCGACTTGAGCCGAAGTCGGACACTTAACTGACTGAGCCACCCAGGCGCCCCTTAACTTTTCTTATTTGTATTTTTTTATCTTTTATTTTATTATATTAAAAAAAATTCTTGGTTCATTCATTCATCCATTGTAGAAGAGACAGAATGAGTGAATGGGAAAGGGGCAGAGATGGAGAGAGAAAGAATCGTAAGCAGGCTCTACACGGTCAATGTGGAGCCTGAAGTGGGGCTCAAACTCACAAACTGAGCTGAAACCAAGAGTTGGCCGCTTAATCGACTGAGTCACCCATGCTCCTCTTATTTTTAAATGCTTATTTATTTTGAGAAAACATGTGTGAGCAGGGAAGAGGCAGAGAGAGACGAACAGAGAGAATCCCAAGCAGGCTCCATGCTGTCAGCACAGAGCCCAACGTGGGGCTTAATCTCACAAACCAGGAGATCATGACCTAAGCCAAAACCAAGTCAGACCTTTAACCATCTAAGCCGCCCAGGCGCCCCTAACTTTTTTTATGTAAAAGATAGTTTAAGCCCTGGGGTGCCTGAGTGGCTCAATCAGTGAGTGTCCAGCTTCAGCTCAGGTCATGATCTCGCAGTTCGTGGGTTCGAGCCCCACATCAGGCTCTGTGCTGACAACTAGCTAAGAGCCTGGAGCCTGTCTTCAGTCTGTTTCTCCCTCTCTCTGACTCTCCCCTGCTCACGCTCTCTCTCTCTCAAAAAAAATAAGACATTAAAAAAAAAAAAAAGATAGTTTAAGCTCTTAAATCTTCCTGTAGGCATAAATTTAGCTGCATTATACAAATTTTTCATTTTTACTGAGATTTAATACTAAATATTTTCTTTCTTCCATAATGAGAACATTTTGTTTTTGTTATTAATTTTTCCCAAGTTTTTACTGTGGTAAAACATACCAAGTACACTGTCCAGTGCTATTAAGTAGATTCATCACGTTGTGCAACCATCACCTCCATCCATCCCCAGAGCTCTTTTCATCTTATAAACATGAACTTTGATCCCCATCAAACACCGCTCTCCATGTGTGATTAGTTTTCAGTATTACTGGGCTATACTGAGAAAATGCAGTCCGCTAAAAACCCAAGCAAACCCATACGCAGATAAGCGAGGGCCGATTTCATCAATCAAATATCCAGAGAAATAAAGTCTTACCAAAAGGACTCCATCAGACTTGAACTGGCACCAGTCAGGTTGGAGCAGGGGAACCAGTTCTCCACGACGGCCGCGCTCCAGGGACCGGTGCGGCCAAGCTCCTGCTGGGCCCATTCTGGAACGCGAGCAGCTAGGGGACGGGCGCAGACGGGAGAGGAAGCAGAGAAAAGACGTTAGGATGGAAGAGCAGAATCCAAACACTCGCTCCTCCCTTGGTCTGACCACGTTCTGACAGAAGACGCACAGAGCCGCATCACTAACACTCCACCCACACCCCCCCACACCCCCGCCCCCAACGTGTCTACACGGTCTGCGAAAAACGCCTCTCCGCCAGCATACAAACGCAGGCTCGCTCGCAGTCTCTCAACCCAGACACACACTTTTCTCAGTCTTGGCATTTGCTTTTGGTTCTGTAGCATTTCCTTCAAGCCTTTGCTCAAATATTACTTTCTCAACAAAGCCTGTTTAAAACTTCAACCTCCACCTCTCATCCCTTAACTCTCCCCGTTACTTTTTTCCTGCTTCATGTCGATGGCACTTATCTCTTCCAAATATACTGTGCCATTTCCTTATTCGCTGTCTGGTCTCCCCTGACTAGATGGTACACTCTGGAAGGACACAGACTTTCGTCTAGTTTCTTCTCTAATATAGTCCCGTTACTTAGTGCCTGCCAGAGCAGACACCCAATAAATCTGTTGAATGAACCGGATAAATATCAAATGGATTATAGTTACATCTGCCCGGCATAAATAAGGTTTGTACCGTATCAGTAACAATGCACCAGACTGGCAGGTGGACAGAAGCACAATACTTTCACATGCTCTTCATCAAATATCTTCAAGTACAGGTTTCATCTCCTACCTCTGATTTCCAACCAGTTTCACAGAACCTTTGGCCTCCTCAGAGGTGCTTCAGGATTTCTATAAATAATGATGGTTTAAATAGCCTCAAGTATCGTAGCCTGTTCTTATCTGTTCTGTGATAGATACTGGGGTTCCACGCAATTCTGACGGCGAAAGGCACTATACACCACCGCCCCGAGTACGGTAGTTATCGGCCCAGAAGCTTACCACAGGCGGCGGGGTCCTCAAGTGACTTGTGAATCTGACTCAATACAACGTCCACAACATCAGAAAAAAGGAAAGCTGTGTCCTGGGGGCTCTCCACCCCAACTGTTTGCAGAAAGTCTCTTTGAAATTCAGCCTCCTCGGTGCGGAACACAGTGAGAACCGTGGCATTGGTAGAGAGGGGGGAAATAACTCCCGTGATGGGGGGCCAGCCTTCACCAGGGTCCACACTGGCCACCTACATCAAGAGGTTCTAATTAGTGGAGAAGACTGTTGACGTCTGGCTAATGAAGAATGTAGCTTAGTAAAAGTGAGAATGATAGTTTCTCCCAATGATTATTATTATAAGAGACAAAACTGTGGAACAGACAGTCTGGATAGTTATTAGTGCTAGACTTGAATTGAGGGACATAATCCTAATCTCCAAATTTACAAACAAGAAAAACCTAAAGTTACCAGGAATATTTGCTAAGGACTTATTATGTGTTTATTACATATTACTCACCAGATCCTCACAACCACTCTGAGGTAAAAATGATTATTGGGGCACCTGGGTGGCTCAGTCAGTTAAACATCTGACTTCAGTTCAGGTCATGATCTCACAGTTTGTGGGTTCGAGCCCCACATCAGGCTCTGTGCTGATAGCTCAGAGCCTGTTTCAGATTCTGTGTCTCCCTCTCTCTCTGCCCCTTCCCCACTCATTCTCTGTCTCTCAAAACTGAATAAATGCTTAAAAAAAAAAAAAAAAAAAGACTATTGCCCCCATTTTACAGAGGAGGAATTAAGGCTGAAGAATAGGTAACCTGTTTAAGGTCACCAAGGTGGTAAAAGGCAGAAGCCAAGCGTGTATGAATTCAAAACCCAAGCTCTTTTTTTTAATGTTTTTTTTTTTTTTTTTTAATTTATTTCTAGGAGAGAGAGAGAGAGAGACAGCATGAGCAGGGAAGGGTCAGAGAAAGAGGGAAACACAGACTCTGAAACAGGCTCCAGGCCCTGAGATGGCAGTCAGCACAGGGCCCGACGCGGGGCTCGAACCCACGAACCGCGAGATCATGACCTAAGCGAAAGTCGGACGCTTAACCGACTAAGCCACCCAGGCGCCCCATTCGAAACCCAAGCTCTTAACCATGAGGCAAGGGATTTACTTAGATCCGTAATTACGGAACAGAGCAGAGGCCCAAACTGGACCCCAAGTCAGAGCTCTGTCCATCAGAACACACACAACGCTTAGAACAATATCGGTCCAGAGACTATATAGTCTTTCTCTAAAAGTTTCACAAAGGATCCAGCATATAGAAGCCTTCTGAGGTTACAAAGGCATAAGACAAAGCAAGGTAAGAAATTTGCTGGTAGTTTAAAATAACCATCACCTTTGCATCAAATCTGGGTACCTATGTAGTTTTCAGAAAACATTTCTAAGTTTGCGGGACTTTTAAACACTATTACATCTAATTTTACAGTGAAGGGCTTCATAACGATGACATATATTAGGTAAAAAGACAAAATTTAGAAATATGTTCTAGAACACTCAAAAAAAATAACAAGAAACCTCCATACCCTAATACGCCCATTCCAATTGACCCCCTGCCTTTTCTTCCCATGTGAATATAATGTAACTTAATTAGAATCAAGGCACATGCAACTTTATAACCTGCTTCTTCACTAATGAGCACTGTCGTGGTGCTACCGAGAAATAGTATTATTCGCAAAAACGTCATCTGTGTCACTGAAACTAAGTTATGTGGGACACCGCCGGGCTCCTCACAGAACCCTCATCGCACCGTAGAAGGGTTTCACCAGACGACAGTAACTCAGCACGTGCAAGGTACCTACCAGGTGGGCCTCGTCGGCCGTCAGCCTGCTCACCAGCTGCGGAAAGAAGGTGCTCGGAGTCGAGGTGTTCTCCGGACTTCGCAGCATCCAGCTGTCGGTGCCCAAAATGCTACTCGCTGGGAGAGCCCACTGGGCCGCTGTGCCTTTGAGGAAAATTCGGACTGGTTTCTGAAAATGTCTTTGATGCATGACCAAGGGCTCTAGGGTGACTGTCCATGTTTCTTGAACCTCTTTGCCTATTAGAAATAAGGAATATTAAAATTCTCATGCAAGGGTTACTAAAATTAGACTTAATAGAAGAAAAAAAAAAGCAGACTGTCAGTTGAGGCGCTAGTGTTGTCGCACACGCTTCAACCTTCGTCCACTGCCAGCAGGCTCCCAGAGCAAGTTCACTTCGCTCTCTGGGAAGAGCTAGACACGCAAAGAATTACAAGGGTGCAACTAAATGTCAGAACTTCTCCACAGTTATGTCGTAGATATAAGTATTCAAGTAATACTCATTACTTACAAAAAAGACAACACTGCCTCTTAAATCCAGCGTATCGTATCTTACTAAAATGTTAAATTCTAAAGACTATGACAAAACTGTTTGAACAAAACTACTCTTAAAATTTCCTTAAAGTGCACATCATGTATAACATAGTTTTCACATCTACATCTCTAGATAGGATTACTCCTGTGTGGATACAGGATTCAGAAACGAGATTCACCATACGACAGACCACACGGCAAAGCCAATTTTTTAAAAAAAAAAATTTTTAACATTTATTTTTGAGAGACAGAGACAGAGTGCGAGTGGGGGAGGGGCAGAGAGCGAGGGACACAGAACATGAAGCAGGCCCCAGGCTCTGAGCTGGAACCCATGAATGGTGAGATCATGACCTAGATGAAGTCAGACGCTCACCCGACTGAGTCACTCAGACGCCCCAGCAAAGCCAATTTATGAAGAGTTCACCACGCTGGCTCTTCCTGGTAACAAGCACCATTCTCAGAGCCTGTTGACTGATTTATTTCTTCTCTCAATCAATCATTGCTACTCTATGGTCTCCAATTGACCAATCTCTTCTATGAGGTGGGAAATCTTATCACCCCTTTACTTGGGCACCTGAACCATATTATCCTTCTTTGCAACAGCTGGAAAACTTTCTTTTTATTTTTAAAAAAAATGTTTATTTTTCAGGGAGAGAGGAGCATGAGTGAGTGAGGGAGGGAGGGGGGTAGAGGAGAAAGGGAGGGGAGTAGGGACACAGGGAGACAGAGAGAGAAAGAAAGAATCCAAAGCAGACTCCAGGCTCTGTGCTGACAGATGTGGGGCTTGAACTCATGAACATGAGATCATGACCTGAGCCGAGGTCAGACGCTTAACCAACTGAGCTACCCAGGCACCCCAGCTGGGAAACTCTTTAAACAATCATACTAGTTCTTTCCATGGGTGGGCTGGCAGTTATACCGTGCCTGTGTCCAACCCTTTCCTGTGGTGCCTTTGATTCTACATAGGTTATCTTTTTTTTTTTTTAGTTTATTTATCTTGAAAGGGAAAGAGTGGGGGGAGAGGCGGTGGACGGAAGGAGGAGGAGGGGGAGAGAAGGAGGCGGGGGAGGGGGGGTGAGAGGGAATCCCAAACAGGCTCTGCACTGCCAGTGCAGATACCAATGCACGGTTCATGGGGCTCGAACCCATGAACTGTGAGATCGTGACCTGAGCCAAAAACCAAGAGCCAGATGCTTAGCTCACTGAGCCAGCCATCCAGGTGCCCCTTTACACAGGTATCTTTTCATTACAAGCATTAATTGAGTGCCTAGGCTGCTGGAAACTCTAAACAAGTGAAAAGCACGGGCCTGCCTTGAGGAAATGAACGTACCCGAGACCATGAAAGTCCCCAAAAGAGTATTTGCTCACCTTCAACAGGGAGAAATAATGTCCCCTCCATCCGTGGAAATGAGGCTTCGTACGCAGGAGAATTATAGAGCAAACAGTTTAAAGTGGCATCAGATGGCAGAGTTGAAATCCACGAGGTGAGGGGAGATTCACTTGGCAGCTTTTTTTCACCACCAAGTGGTATTTTCCCAGCCTTAGCACAATCCTGGCTGAAGGTTTCGGATGGTAAGATACTGCCTCCTACAAGGCGCAGCAGTTGCCACAATGTCCAGTACCCAAGGTGATCTGGCGATTCCCACAACTGAAATACACATTATAGAGAACATCAGGTGATTATGAATGAGGCAGCCATAAATAAAGCTCGGGGAGATCGGGAGAAAGTAAAGTTGGAATCTACACTCAAGGATCGAATTCCACAGTCATTGTATTTATCAAGCCACACACAAATAATGGCCAGCATCCTGTTACTATGCAGCCTGAGAATATAATTACTACAAGAAAGTGCCCACATAGTGAAAACTATGGCAAGGAACAGAAGTGATACAAAGCACTGGAGATGAATCATGAAATGTTAAAAGTCAGAAGAAATGCACAGAACATTAATAAAAATAATTCTGTCCTGCACAATAGAACACAACAATGGCTCGGTACCGAGTGAGCTGGGCAGGAGGCCCTCCCCGAGAGGGGGATCACCGCTGACTCACCCACTCCACAACGGTGTGGGGATCGAGCAGGTCTCAGTTCTGTCCTAGCTGCTCTCACTAAAGGCCTCATCTCTCACCTGGACTCTTACTGGACAGCCCCTAACGTCTGTGTCCCGCCTCTAATCTGTCCTCCATGTTTCTCTAAGATTTCTTCCAAATCATAGATCGGATCATGCTATTTCTCTAAAAAACCTTCAAGGGCCTCTCACTGCCTCCACGATAAAGTAACTCTTGGGTAGCCCAACCCTAAACAAACTTTCCAAATACATGCTCTTTCCCTCACCCATGGCTGCCTTCCAGGCACACCGAACCACTTCATGTTTCCTGAACATGCTGTATTTTATCATCCACGGTTGTGTTCATTCTGCTTCCTGTCTTCCCTTTCCCTCTTCACCAGCTTCGGTAATCTAGCTCAAATACTGCTTTCTCTGTAAAAGCCGCTCTTCACTTCCTCACCCACAGCCAATCCTTCATTCAACCTTGTTTTAACAAACTTTTTTTTTTTAAGGCATTAAGATCTTGTTTTATTGCAATAATTTGGTTAACCTCAAATACCCGTTTGAGCGAACATCCCAGACCAAACTATGTAAGCAGTGGGAATTCTATCAGGGAGCACTGAGGTGACCCCCTCAGAGTCTTAACACCCAAGCACGAATCTCTAACATAGTTTTATTGAGCAAACTTTACATGCCATGGATTAGTGAGACATACTGCCTGTCTTCTAGACCTTTAAAGTTGGGGGTGGAATAAAACAGTAATAACATGAAATATTTAACTCAGCATCACAATAGAACATGACAATATTCAAGTAGTATGGGAACAGGATAAGGAAATTGCCTACCCCAAAATACCATTATTGGGCTGGTTTGGCTACTCCACAGGACAGTTAACAATGGTAGACCATAAATTGCTATGGAATGTGAGGTCTTCCAGGACATCTCCAAACTTTCCATATAGTCAAGTTCAAAGAGGGGCATAAGAGTGCCCAAGGTCACAGTAAGGAAAGGATAGACTAGTCCAAGAACCCAGAACTGTCTTGGATAGTGCTTTTAACATGAGGGTCATGATCCTTCAATGGACTCGGATGGATCCTTTGATGGATCAATTGACTGGCTTATGATCAGCATTAAAAAAAAAAAACCAAAAAAAAGAATAGGAAATATCAGAGCACAACAGAAAATATCAATCACATGTAACAAAGAAGACTTTTCGGTTATGCATGCCAGTTTGTAAGTTAATTGGCATTTGCCATTACCATCCATGTGTCCATGCCTGCATTCACTGCTAGAGGGGAGAACAGTTAAGCTAGTTCATATGCCACAGATCCTGATTTGGGTTTTCCACCAAAGGGAAACAAAACATTTGTAGAAATTGTTTGAGATTCTGGCTGGAGGACAGCCAGGAAAAAAAAAATCTGATCAACTGAAAGGTAAAGCTTTAATAAGAATTGAAAAAAACATCAACTTTTGATGAGAATATATGCACACATGATTTTAAAAAACCATAATCAGGAATGCAAACTGGTGCAGCTACTCTATAAAACAGCGTGGAGGTTCCTCAAAAAGTTAAAAATAGGGCTATCCTAGGACCTAGCAGTCGCACTATTAGGTATATATCCAAAGGATACAAAAATGCTGATTCGAAGGGGCACACGCACCCCAATGTTCATGGCAGCGCTATCAACAATAGCCAAAGTATGGAAAGAGCCCAAATTTCCATTGAGTGATGAATGGATAAAGAAGATGTGGTATACATACACAATGGAATACTACTCAGCGGTGAAAAAGAATGAAATCTTGCCACTTGCAACAACGTGGGTGGAACTAGAGGGTATTATGCTGAGCAAAATAAGTCAGGAAGAGAAATCGTATGATATCACTCATATGTGGAATTTAAGAAACACAAAAGATGAACACAGAGGAAGGGAAGGAAAAATAAGATAAAAACAGGGAGGCAAACTATAAAAGATGCTTAAATACAGGTAACAAATTGAGGGTTGTTGGAAGGGGGTGGGGGGGATGGGCTACATGGGTGATGGGCATTAAAGAGGGCACTTGTTGGGATGAGCATTGGGTGTTATATGTAAGTGATGAATCATTCAATTCTACTCCCAAAACCATTATTACACTATATGTTAGCTAACTTGGATGTAAATAAAATTTTTTTTAAAAGTTATTTGAAAAAACTTCAAAAATACAATCAACATAAAGAGTATGGTTATTATGCAGACAAGTCTTAGTTTCAAATCTAAAATTTATAAGGTCAAGACTATAAACTCCAGGAAAGCAAGGACTACATCTGTCTGGTTCACTAATGCTATACCCAGCACACCTAGAAGCCATGTAATAAGTAGGCGTTGAATAAACCAGAGATATAAAGTCGAAAGCGTGCCAGGGGTCTCCTAGGTTTCCCTTCATTCTGCAAGAGTTCTGTGCTTGGCTCCCTTCTCCCTCCATCTGTGAGTCCGGGTTCTGTTTCTCCTAGTTCTGTTCCCCAGACTGTGAGCTCTGCAAGGCGGGACCTGGATTTTCTTCCTTTCCCTTTTCTCCACCCCTGTAGCCCAAGCTCTCCAAGGACAGGATCCGAAGCTCCCTTTGGTCTCCACCATGTGGCCCCGGGTACACGCTTTTTGAATAGGAAAAAAAATCAGTCTTCACCAGAAAAAAAAAAAAATCTAGAAAAGCGTGTTTGACGGGCATTGTCTTCGGGGAAACAACACAGCTGGTGTGAGAACGGAAGCCTCCGAGAAGACTAGCCTCTCGGAAGCTGGGATGTCAGAACTGGAAGCGAACTCCAAAAAGATCCCGTCAATCTCCTTACTGCAATGCTGTTCGGGAAAGAAACAGGAGAGAAGGATCTCCAAGCACCCCACCCCCACCCGTTAAGATTTATTTCTTGCCAGAATTTGATATAATTCCAGAAGAAAGCCTTTGTTGTGATTTGGTATCAAAATCATCCCAAATCGAGCACTTATGAGCATGGTGTCTAGCACTTCGTTGGCTCCCTTAAGAAATGTTAAGTCTTAGGATTCCTTTTTCTCCACGAAATGTTTACAATCCCCTTAAACGCTCTGTCCTTTCCTTCTCTTTGACAAGCCACTGCTGCCTCATTTTGCATTTACCATGCCTTTTATTGGGCTTTGTATGTGAAAGTATGTTGAAATTTTAACACTGTATAACATTATTTAAGTACCTGCTCATTTTCTATTTGTAATCTGGTAACTTAACCCACTCCTAGTTCAGTGGCAGGAGTTTTCAGTAAGTGGAATCACATTTTTCACCTGGTTAAGCTACTTCCCACCGATGAGAAGAAAATCTGCACTTTTACTGTTTAGGCCCCATAGACAGGCACCTTCTGAAACAAACTAAGCTCACTTCGTTCAGACCTCTATCCCTGTTCTTTGCCTGGAATGTTCTTTCCCAATCTTCACATTTCTCCTCCTTCACCTCCTCTGCCTATAAAAGCCTCCCCTGACCATCACCCTATATATGACTGTCCCCCTAACCTTTTACCTCCTCCTGCTCACCTGTTTCATCTGTTAATCTTATCTGTTTCTAGCATCTTCCTCGCCAGAAGGTCAGGCGAGGTCAGCTATAACGTGCAGTAGGCACTCAGTGTAATGGCTTGACTATTAAATCAAGCTGATGGGAGGGAAACGGTGAAAGTAAAAGTATATATACTTAACAAGGTTGCTTAACTGAAACAGGAGCCCCAAATGAGCCACTTAGGAGCCCTTTAGTCAACAGGTATTTACTGAGGACGCACAACAGTCAACATGCATCTGCTGGGGATCCAAAGGGGTGTTTGAGATATTTTTAGACTAAATGGAAGGGAGAGACTTGCACAACCGGAACATGTAATGGGGATAGGGCAAGTGCCACAAAAGTTCATGCAAATTCAAACCGGAGACTCAGGTGTCGCCATTGGGCAAGGAGTTGAAGAGAGGCTTGGACCCGCATGGGATTCGGGGTGGCCGATGAGACAGAACAAGCATTCGAGATTTGTTGCCCCAAGAGGCTATACTTCGGTATGCTGGAATATTCCCTGGGACGGCAGATAGGGCCCAAACTACGAAGGGCTTTAAACGCTGACCTCTGCCGGGACCAAGGACCTCCCTGTTCTGTTGCGAAGCGTCCCCGTTTGTGACCGCAGGACTTTCCTCCCGAACGGACCCATGCCGGCCGGGCTGGTCTCATTCTGGGTCTCACCGGCGGCTCTGCGGACGCCGCCTGGTTCCGACAGACCCGCAGGCCGCCGCGCACCAAGCCTGACCTTTCTGTGAACTCACCTTGGGCCACTCGGTGGTATCCACCCAGTACAAGGTGATTTTTCGGGCGATCATGACTTCCTGCACTCGCTTGGGCAGCAACTTGTCCATCACCTGCTTCGGGGCCGGCGGCAGGCGCTGGGCCTGGGCCTCGCACCCGCACACGAACTGCAGCAGCTCCCGCTGCGAATGCGGGCAGGGCGCCAGCAGGAAGACGGCGTTCGCGAAGCCGCCGAGCGCAGCCTCGGCCTCCTTGGCCTCGCTCTCCACGTCCAGCAGTCTCCTCCCGCTGCTGCGCAGGATCGGCTTGGTGGGCGACGTGATCTCGGGCCGGTCCCACTGGTAGTCTAGCAGCGTCTCCATCAGGGCGCCGTGCGTGTGGCTGGCCCTGGGCGCCGGGCCCGGCAGGTGGGCGCCGTGGGCGCCGTCCCCGAGCACGGCGTCCAGCTCCTCCTCGAAGTCCTCCCAGGAGCGGGCCCCCAGCTCGCGGAAGTCAGACACGCGGGACGGCCGGCTCCGCGCCCCCTGGGAGTCAAAGAACTTGAAGGCCCAGCGGACCCTGGCCAGGCCGAATCGGCAGCTCAGGTAAGTGAGGAGGCGCAGGGCGGCCCGCCGGACCGGGCTGCGGCCGGCGGCACCGCCCGCGGTGTCCAGCAGCAGCATGACGTTGTGACAGCAGGCCATGCCGGCCGCTCCGGGGCTCCGGCTGGGGCCCGCGCAGCTCTCCTCTCGGCCCGGGTCTCAGGGAACCAGCGCCATTCACCGCTTTCCCTCAGGAGCCGCAGCGGAAAATCTCCCGCGCTCTCCAACTGCTGCTGCCATTGGCGGAGTCAGCCCCCAGCGTCGGCTCCTATTGGTCGCACGCCTTACGTAACTTACGAGAGTAACTTCCATCCTTGGCGCTGATTGGAAGGGCGACGGAGAAGCTCGCTGCCTGATTGGTGGAGGGCGTGGCCGTGAGCGGGGCACCCAGTTCCGGGAGAAACTTAGCATTCATTGGCTTGGGCCTTTCGTTTTAAAATTTAAAGAGGTTGCGCTTCGGAAGGGGGGGGGGCGTGTCCTTAAGTGTCCCTTTTGGGCTGAAGGCCTGCTTTGGGGCGGTTGTGCGCAGGCGTGGGTGCGGGCTGCTGGGAGATGAAAATTTCGGATTCAAAAGCTGAGGAAACCACTGCGGACTTTCTATGGAGTAGAATCTGATTTCGTTTTCTGTAATTTAAGAAAAAATTAGTAACAATTAAAAGTTCACTTTACCCCAATAATTTCAAGGAGTTTCTCTGAAGAAGGTAATTAGATCCAGATAAAAGACATAGGTACATCATAGAGTTATCTAACTTGAGAAAGATTGGAAAACAGCTCAAACGGACGTGGCTAAAGTATGGTACGGTCTAAAGGGAAGGAACATCAGGGAGCTTTTAAAAATATTTTAAATATTTTTATGTATGTAAATATGTAACATTAGAGTTTTAAAAAAGGACTGTGAAACAGCACATGTAGTGAGAACCCCCAATTTTCTATGCGTACATTTTTAAACTGTTGAAATAAAACCGTACCAAAAGTTGTCTGTGATAGTCTTTGGGTGATGACATGATGGTGATTTTAAAATCATATATATATTTCACACCCTTCTGAATTTTCTATAATTCTGTATTCCCTTGTTACTTTTATAGTCAGGAGGAAATCTACTTAGTGAACAAAAAGTGCTTCCTGTTGCACATAGAAGAAGCCAGGTTTCTAATCAGGCAAGAAGGTAAAGGGAATATTCGAGAGAGAGGCGGAGGACACAGGAGGGACTGTGTTTATGGTTCACTGTAGGGAGGTCAAGGAAGGGGGGAGATACGGTCAGCTTCGGGGATATACAGAGCTGTTCCATGGTGAGAATGACTTTGGGAGGCTTGGTAAAAAGAGCTAGGGGGTCAGTGCAGGACTCAACTGTCTGCAGGGTCTGTAATGAAACTTCTGTTTCATTCTTGATATTGGTAATTCGTGTTCTCTTTTTTATATCAGTCTTACTAGAGGTATATCAATTTTGTTGATCTTTTCAAAGAATGAGCTCTTGTTTTATTGATTTTTTTTTCTGTTGTTAAGTTCATTGATTTCTGCTCTTATTTTTCTTTCCCTCTGTTTGCAATTAGCTTATTTTGCTCTTTTTCTAGATTCCTTAAGAACTTTAGATTTTTAAGACTTTTCCTCTTCCTTAAGGTATGCCATAAATTTCCTTCTCAGTACTGCTTTGAATGTGTCCCACAAATTTGGACACATTATATTTTCCCTTACATCCACTTTTTTTTTTTTAATTTCCCTTGAGACTTCCTCTTTGACCCATGGATTAATTAGAAGTGTCTTGTTTGGTTTCCAATGGTTTGCAGATTCCCTTTTATCTTTCTATTACTTATGTCTAGTTGGATTCCATTGATTTGGTGGACATTCTGTATACTTGCAGTTCTTTTAAATGTATTGAGGTTTGTTTTATGGCCCAGGATATGGTCCATCTTCATACATGCTTCATGGGCACTGGATAACAATGCATGTTCTCCCATTGTTAAGTGGAGTGTTCTAGAAATACCAGTTAGATCCCATTGGTTAGTGTGCTTTTTGAGTTCTTCTATATTGGTGCCGATTTTCTGTCTAGCTGTTCTATCAGTTGTTGAGAGAAAGATGTTGAAGTCTTCAACCATAACTGTGAATGTGTCTTATTTCCCCTTTCAGTTCTATTGTTATATTGCTTCAGATATTTTGGATCTCTGTTGTTTGATGCATACACACTTAGAATTGCTATGTCTTCTTACTGTATTGACCCTTCTATCGCTATATAATATTCCTCTCTTGTAACTGGTGATTTTCTTTGCTCTGAAATTTATCTGCTATTAATACAGCCTCTCCTTCTTTCTTTGATTAGTGTTTGCATAGTATATCTGGCTCGATTCTTTTCCTGTTAACTTATCTATATCATTATGTTTGAAGTGAGTTTCTTTACGTAACATATAGTTGAGTCCGTTTTAAAAATCTTTTCTGCCAGGGGCGCCTGGGTGGCTCAGTCGGTTGGATGTCTGACTTCTGCTTGGGTCATGATCTCGCGGTTGTGGATTTGAGCCCTGTGTGGGGTTCTGTGCTGACAGCTCAGAGCCTGGAGACCACGTCAGATTCTGTGTCTCCCTCTCTCTCTCTGCCCCTCCTCCCTCACATGCTGTCTCTCTTTCTCTCAAAAATGAACATTAAAAAAAATCTGTTCTGCCAATCTCTATCTTTTCATTGATGTATTTAAACTATGTGTGATGTATTGTTGATTATTAAGGCTTAAGTCTGCCATTTCATTTTTTGATTTCTGTTGGTTTTTTCCTCCTCCTCCCCTCAGGGTTAATTGAACATTTTTTTAAATTCAATTTTTATTAATTTTGTTTGTTAGTGTATTTCTTTATATAGCTTTTTCACTACTATTTAAAGAGAGACAGAGAGCATGGGTGGGGAAGAGGAGCAGAGGGAAATAGAGAATTTTAAGCAGGCTCCTCACTCGGCACAGAGCCCGACGGAGGGCATGATCCTATGACCCTGGGATCATGACCTGAGCTGAAATCAAGAGTAGGACATTCAGCCAACCGAGCCACCCAGTTGCCCTAGTATAGAGTTGTTAGTGTTTTGTCTGAGTATTACAACATGTACGTATAACAGCACAGTCTGGTGAAGTATAGTGTAGTAAAGTATGGAAATAATACCTCCTTTAAGTCCCCTTCCCCACTTAAAACTGTCTTCACTGTTTCCTTTATAAACATTAATACCTACATTAGTTATGTTTTTTTTATTTTTTTTAATGTTTTATTTCTTTCTTTTTTTTTAATTTTTTTATGTTTTATTTATTTCTAGGAGAGAGAGAGAGAGAGTGTGAGCAGGGGAGGGTCAGAGAGAGAGGGAGTCACAGACTGAAACAGGCTCCAGGCTCTGAGCTGGCAGTCAGCACAGGGCCCGACGCGGGGCTCGAACCCACGAACCGCGAGATCATGACCTAAGCGAAAGTCGGATGCTTAACCGACTAAGCCACCCAGGCGCCCCTGTTTTATTTATTTCTGAGAGAGAGAGCGAGACAGCGAGAGAGACAGTGTGAGCAGGGGAGGGTCAGAGAGAGATGGAGACACAGAATCCGAAGCAGGCTCCAGGCTCTGAGCTGGCAGCCAGCACAGAGCCTCATGCGGGACTCGAACCCATGAGCTGTGAGATCATGACCTGAGCCGAAGTCGGACGCTTAACCGACTGAGCCACCCAGGCGCCCCAGTTATAATTTTTGCCTTAACCATCACACTTCTAAAACTTAAAGAGAAGGAAAGTTTATTGTACTCATACTTTTTTTTTTAAAATTTTTTTAATGTTTTATTTATTTCTAGGAGAGAGAGAGAGAGAGACAGCGTGAGCAGGGGAGGGTCAGAGAGAGAGGGAGTCACAGACTGAAACAGGCTCCAGTGTCCGAGCAGGCAGTCAGCACAGAGCCCGACGCGGGGCTCGAACCCACGAACCGCGAGATCATGACCCAAGCGAAGGTCGGACGCCCAACCGACCAAGCCACCCAGGCGCCCCTATCGTACTCATACTTTTACTCGTTCCGTTGTTCTTTCTTTTTTCCTGATGTTCTAAGATTTCTTCTTTTATCATTTGTTTTTCTCTGTTTTACAGCTTCCACTAGCCATTCTTTGAGAGTAAGTCTGCTTGCAGAAAATTCCTGAATTTTCCTTCATCTGAGACTGTCTTTATTCCTGAAGGTTTTTCACTGGATATAGAATTCTAGGTTGACAGTTCTCCCCGCCCCTCCGATCACTTGAAAAATGCAGTCTGCTTCCCCCCTTTCCCCCCACCCCCCCGGCCCTCTGTGGCCTCCGCTGACCCTGCAGGTGGGGGGGGGCCGTGTCACCGCAGGCGGTGGTGCCAGTCCCGTTTCTCTGCTGAGCCTCCTCTGACGTCACCCCAACAGGGGCAGAGAGGGCATCTTGCTCCCAGCGGATGGATGTGGGAGTCCAGGTTCCCTAAGGGACCCCCACTTTGGTCCTCATTACCATCGGGTGGGGCCCAAAGTCCCAGCTCCCCACTTGGCCTCTGATACCACCCTGGCAGGGGAGGAGGCTGCCTTGTGATGCCCGGCACAGGTGCAAGTGTGGGCTTCCACTCAGCCTTTGCTGATGGGGCTGGGACAGTGTTTGTTCATTAGTTAGTTTGTTTTGGTTCAGCTTGGTGTTTTTTGGAGTTTGACTTGATGGGAGTGATTACAGCCTAAAAGTTTTCTGTCTGGCTTGTCTGCCCCTTTCCTGCTCTTCTGACTGGAGAGAGCAGACTTTCCTCGGGGACTGTTTTAGTCTGTATCCAAGGATGTATCAGGTCACCAGCTTCTCCAGTATCCAGTCAGATATAAAAGGGCAAAAGAAAACCCCGGGAACTCACTGCCATGTCATCCTTTGGGTCTCAGGGTCCCTAGCAAAGTTTGCTTCTCAATCTCAAAGAGGTCTTCTCATGTCTGTGTATCGAATGCCCCAGAGTTTTCAGCCTTACTTAGTGGGCAGAATAGGAACAAATATGTCTGCCCTATTTTTCTGGAGCCAGAAGTCCAGAGTTGTTGTTTTTACTTTTATTTTTTTACTTTTTTAAAATGTTTGTTTCTTTTTGAGAGAGACAGAGCACGAGTGGGGGAGGGACAGAGAGAGAGAGGGAGACACAGAATCTGAAGCAGGCTCCAAGCTGTCATCATAGAGCCCAGTGCGGGGCTTGAA